ACAGGGTCTTGTTATGCAGTTCAGACTTGCAGTGATCCTCCTGTCTCAGCCTCCCTGATGCTGGGATTACAGGCATGTGCCACCATGCCTGGTTTTGGTGGCTGGCACAGCACACCCAAAATTCGAGGGCCAGCACAGCATGGGGTACTGGGGATTGAGCTCAGGTCCTTGCGCTTGCCAGGCAGTTGCTTAGGCCACTGAGCTATCTCCCCAGTCTGAGCGTTATTTTGGCTCACGTTTGGTCCACAGTGGGCTGGCTCCAAGGCAGGGCAGTGTGGCAGAGGCAAGCAGCCCACAGAGGGCAGACAGGAAACAGCATCATGGGAGGAGCCAGAAGGGCAACGGAACTTTCTAGGGCACGTGCACAGAGATCCATCTCTTCAGCCAATGGCAAATTAGCTAGAATGCCCCATAAGCCAATCAATTCCCTCAGGTCCTGCCTCTGCTCCCTCCCATGTGGCTTTAGGGAGCAGCTAGGTATGAACGGTAACATTCTGCCCTGGGCCCCAAGAGACACATACACATCTCTTTACCCAAATTGAGTACCGTCCATCGCCAAGACCTGCCAAAATCCTAGCAATTCTAGCACTGCTGAAAGCCCCAAATCTCCTTGAAACTCAAAGCAAACTCAATCGTGAGTCCCTGTAAAAATCGAAAGAAAGTTAAACACTGCTGATATACACCAACACAGGCTAAACACTCCACTTCCAAACAGGAGAAGTAGGGGGACAGGAGCCAAGACCAAATCCAGCAGAGCAATCCCAGGGCACGTTGTGGTGATAACCTGCATACTCCAAAGGGTTTGGGCAGCCCTGTCCCTGCAACACTGCCAGCGGTTGCAGCTCTTGTGACTTCTCTTGTGGGCTGGTCTTGCCTACTCCTTATACCTTTCCTCAGATGTTCCATGCGCTTGGCTCCCCCAATTTCCTGGGGTCTCCATGCGCTTTCGGCCTCACTCTAACAGTTTCACATACTGCATTCTCAGGGGCAATAACTGGGCTCTCCAGCCTTCTGCTGCAATCCGGTCAGAAACCTTCCTGACCCCACACTTCTTGCATTCTGCAGACCTGTAAAAACCAGCATCCTGAGAGCCAGCAAGATAGCTCAGCCGACTAAGTGCCTGCTTAGGCAAGCACAGGGACCGGGGTCAATCCTGGGCAACATATGCCACCTTGGCCCCGCCCCTGGGTGTGCTGAGCCAGCCACCAACACTGGGAATAATGGTGCACACCTGTTATCCCAGGGCTGGGGTAGGCTGACAACAGCAGGACCACTACAAGTCCTGGCAGCGTAGTGAAACCCTGTGCAAAATACATAAACTAAACAAACAAACAAGTCCAGCACCCTGTGGACCAATGCCAAGTAGCTTGGTCGATTCACATCGTGGCTGTGGGGCCTCTGAGTGCCTGGGCAGCTGAACACTGAACTGAATTCAGAGGAACAAATTCCCTAGGCACCCTTTCTCAAGCATGGTAACCTAGGGCTCTCTCCTAAAAACAAAGTCTTTGCTTTTGTAATTTTGAGCCTGAAAAGGGTAGGGCTTTTGTGGTTCCTCACAAGCTCTGAAGGCATCCTTTCTCTTGACCTGTTATAAAGGATTTGGTTTCATTTTAATACTAATCTTGGGGCTGGAGAGATGGCTCAGTGGTCTAAAGCACCTACTTGAAACAAGCTTGGCAAAGCACAGGGACCGCGGTTCGATCCCCAGCACCACATGCCAGCCAGCCCCGCCCCCTGGTGGGCTGAGCTGGCCACACACACACACAATAAATAAATGTAATAAATAAAAATAAATAAAATATATAAAAAAAATACTAATCTTTTTAGTAACCAAATTCTCCTCTAGTCCATCTTTGCAGGAGCTTGCTTTCTGGCAAAACTAAAATTTTTCATCTTTCTTTTTTAATAGAAAACTGATGGCAGATGGAGCCCTCTCTCCTGATGGAAAGGAAAGAAGAAAGGAGAAGGAGAAAGAGAGGCAGAGAGCGCCAACAGCTGCAGTGCATTTATTCATACACTTGGGATGAAAATGTCTAACATCACTCGGCTATGGCGTCTGCTCTTGATTCTCAATGTAGGATTGGTTAAAAGCTCTCAATAATGCCCATGCCACAACCTAAATGTTGGGCTGCCTTGAAATGTCCTCTGCCAGATTAATGTGCTATCCTTTTTTTTTTTTTTGGTGGTACCAGGAATTGAACTCAGGACCCTGCGCTCGTCAGACAAGCACCTATCTACTGAGTGATCTCTCCAGCCCAATGTACCATCCTTAATCTAAGTTTTTTCTAGTCTTAGAACATGAGCAAGATGGAGACAAGTTTTCTGCCAGAGCACAATACCACATGGCCTGGCACCCAACTGCCAGTGAAACCTTTCTTCCACCTGAGACCTCCTGAACCTGGGCTTTTCCATTTGTTTTTTAAAAGTCCGCATTCTAGTCCTCCAAGCGCGGACCAGAATCTTCCATCAAGCTTGGCTTACAGCACTCTAGGGCTGCTTCTCCTGCTGGCATCTCCAGACCTTTCTGAAACCCTCAGAGGATTCCGTCTCAAAGGCTCCTGAACCACACAGCTAGGCTGTCTCACAGCAGTGACCTCACTTCTCTGGTACTCAAAGCTGTTTCAGTCACTTTCTTCATTACTGGGACAAAATACCCGATACCCACAACTTAAAGCAAAGGTTTATAAGGTTTCAGTCCGCAGTTGGCTGACTTCAGGGCAGTACAGCATGGTGGAAGGGCACGGCTAGGAGAACTGCTCATGCCCAAGTGGTCAAGAAGTGGAGGGGTTTGTTCTTTTTTTGGTGGCTGGTTCGACACACCCTGAGGGTGGGGCTGGCACAACACATAGTGCCAAGGATCGAACCGCAGTCCCTGCATATTTGCCCAAGCAGGTGTTTTAGACCACTGAGCTATCTCATTGGCCCTGAGAAAGTGTTTCAAAGGAGGAGCCAGGGAGGGAGCCAGGCCGTGCCATAGCGACCCACATCTCCCAAGGAGCCCGCGCCTTCTGACAAGCAGCCCGTTAGCAGTCATACAACCCAATCGCCCTCCAGAAGGCCCGCCTTTGGGCATGTGAGACTTTAGGCAAACATTTAGAGCGCTGTTATAATAAGTGAGTCAGGTTAGGGTTTTTTTTTCTTTTTATTTTTTTGTGGAACCGGGGAGTGAACTCAGGCCCTTGCGCTTGCCAGGGAAGCGCTTATTGTACAGAGCCATCTCCCCGGCCCCTCAATTCACGTTTTGAATCACTGTTTTCTTTCTTTCACGCGTTCATTTGTTCATTCATACCAGGAATCAAACTCATGACCTTGCACTTGCCAGACAGGTGCTATATACTGGGTGATCTCCCCGGCCCCTGAATTATTGTTTTTCTGCATTTATAATTTCCTGCAAACATCTTGTATGACTAAAGTTCATGAGAGAACAGTGGAGAGCTTCAGAGAAAGTGAGAGCCACACAGCAGAGCGACAGAAACAGGAAAGCCCCATGACGGGTGTGGTGGCACATGGCCATGACCTCCCCTACTTGGGAGGCTAAGGAATCAAGCCCCATTTGGGCCACTCAGCAAGCTTCTTTTGCAAAACAGAAAACCAAAATGGTTGAAGATGCATCTTAGTGGAGGCCACTCTTGGGTTTGATCCTCAGATAAAACAAAACAAAGCAAGCTGGCCTTGGTACCTCATGCCTGTCATCTCTGCATTTCAAAGGTTGAAGCAAGAAGACTGTGAGTTCGAGGCCAGCCTGGACTACACAGTAAGACCCTGTATCAAATAAACAAACAAACAAAAATAAAAACAATTCCAAACAAAACCCACCTTCTGAAGTCAAAGATAGCTGACTTCTTAGGAGACATGAGTGAAATTTCTTATGAAATGCTGCAGCCCTTATCACCTTGGGTTCTGCCTACTATGGAACCCTGCCAAAATAACACCCATCGCTGTTCAACCTCCTGCATTCCTTTTTCTCTGGCAAATAATAAATTATGCTTCTGTCAATAATTAAAACAGGGGGGGCTGGTGAGATGGCTCAGTGGTCTAAAGCACCTACTTAGAAGAAGCTTAGCAAAGCACAGGCGACCGCGGTTCAATCCCCCAGCACCACATGCCAGCCAGCCCCGCCCCCTGGTGGGCTGAGCTGGCCACACACACACACACATACACACACATAAATAAAATTAAAATTAAAAAAAGGAGGCTGAGGCCCTCTGCAAACTGGAGACCAGCCTAGCCAGAGTGTTACCTGAAGTGCGTAGTGAGCCCGTCTCAAAAAACA